TGCGGGCAGATTGGGCAGCTCGGGGCCGGCGCGAGAGGGGGGCGGAACCAACGGGGAAACCAAGAGGCAGGGACCACCCTCGCCGCCAAGAGGGGCTTCCCAAGGGCGCCTTCCAGTCGTGCGCAGGGGGTGAACCTGACCTTAGAGCAGACCGAGTCACATTTCCTAAAGCCGTGTTATCTCGGCGGAGGAACCGCGCCCGGAAACGTTTCGTCCGAAGTCTGCCCGTACGTAGTTGGAATTCCTAGTCCCACCACGCTGACCTCAGACCCTGTGGCTCCATTCTCTCCCGTGGTCCAACACCTGGGGTTAACAGTTACTGGGCACGCACACTCACTGGGTTGAGTGGCTTCCAGATAGCAAGCTTGTTTTGAACAGTGTGCGCCATACAGTGGCGTGAGCTCTGGGGAGTAAAATGAGACATAGTCCCTGTTCTCCAGAGCACACGTGGCCTTAGGGTTCCCTGACTAGAAATAATGTCGGTCCTTACACTCCTCGGGAAAAAGACCCCGGAGCATTCGTTAAAGTGAAATTGAACCTTGGTGTGTGTGTATATATATATATTTTTTTTCTCACCTTGGGTTTCATATACGAAGCTGGTGATATCTAGAACTCTAAAATGCTGTACGCATTTTATTTAAAAGATGTGTGCCATAGGCACTGGCCAGAGAGAGACAGTGAAAAGGAAAGTGAGAAATCACCTCCCACGCTGCAATCCCTTCTCTGTTCTCTGTAGGGAGTGGCCCAAATCTGAGCAAATGTGACCTTTACTCACATGTAGAATCTGGCTTTATGGATAGTCGTTCGGCCTTTAACATGAATACACTAGCTGTTTGAAACTGTACAGCAGTTTAAAGGGCAGGGTTAAAGGGCTCCTCGAATTTTGGGCCCACGCACACATGCACCAGGTGTGAGCGTTTAAGGTTGCCAGGTCTGGACTCTCACCGTGGTTGGCCATGTGGAAATCCAGCACCTTAACCACTATGCCACCTGCTGTCCCTTTTGTTTGTTTCTTTAATGAGAGAGTAACAACCTCAACAGGGTTGACCATCCCATCTCTCCCAGTCAACCAGGATCGTGTCCCACCTTCAAAACCCACCTGTATAGGTAGGCCAGAGAACAAAACCTGAGCTTCCCCATGTATTCAGCTTTGCTGGAGCACCAAGTTACTGCTGCACCACCAAGTCAGCCCCTTGTACACCTTTTTTTCTTTAAATAGAGTTTTACTATAGGTTGTGTGTACTTAGTAGAGAGAGAGAGAGAAAGTGAGAAATCAGCCCCTACCCCCTAGAGGGGATAGCCACACCTCAGTTCCTCCTCCTCCATTCTCTACTCAGAATTTTGGGCATGCATACACACATGCCCATGTGAGTTTCAAGCTGTTGGGTCCAGGACTCAGAATGCAGTCAGCCACATGGGACTCTAGTACCTTAACTACTACACCACCTGCTGGTCCCCCTTGCACACCTTTTTCGTGTCTCTTACATTATTATTTTGGTATGAATAGAGATGTATCAGGCCCCTGTCAGTACAGGTGAAATGGTACATCATCCTAAACTCTAAGGAATACATATATTATAATGTCTTCCTGGATAGCTATGGTAGTAAGAGAGACAGAGAACACATCCTTAATAATTTCTCCTTGGGCCAACTGGGTGGCCTGGTGTTTAAGGTGGCTGGATTCCACATGGCCAACTACTTGGAGTCTGGGACCCAGACTGGGTTAATAGTTACCGGGCACACACACTCACTGGGTTGAGTGGCTTCCAGAGAGCAAGCTTGTTTTGAACAACGTGTGCGTACAGTGGCGTGGGCTCTGGGGAGTAAAAGAAAATTAAAATGAGACATAGTCCCTGTTCATAGTCCCTGTGGCTTGAAAAACATGCTGAGCACATGCGTGTGTGTCCAGACTCCTGAAAGGAGAAATGCAGAAGCGGTGGCAGTGTGGCTATCCCCTATGAGTACTGACTACTTTCTCACTTTCCCTTTTTCTCTCAATCTCTGTCTCACTTCAGGAGTGCATGTGCCGGAAGCAAATTTATTTTAAAAAGAGGAGGTCTCCTCGTGCAGCAGATTCCCCCTTTCCCAGTTCTCCAGCTCCTCAGGATCCTGGGCACGACTTGTACCCACTGTGTTTTTCAGGCCAACCCTAGTCCCTAACCATAGTTACCATGTGGCTTCCAGCACTGCAGGGCTCCAGGGTTACCACTGTGCCACAGTGGCTGGGCCTCCCACCCTGTTTTAATTGCCATGTGCCTACCTACCCATCCCTTTTCCCTGCTTTATTTTTCTTATCAGTGGTTAGTATTATACATCATGTCCTATATTTTACTTTTTTCCCACTTCTCTGGTTATCTCTCTCCCCACTAGAATGTAGGCTCCAGGAGGACAGAACTGAAATTTTGTTGCTTTTTGGCTGCTGCTGCTATTTTTCAAGGTCCTATAACAATATCCAGCATACAGTAGGTGTTCAATAAATACTTACTGAATTAATGCAGGTAATGAGCATTTAATTATTACTTAGTATTTTAAATAATTACTTGCTTTGTAAATAACCCTTCTTTTAAAAAAGAATCTTGTAAGCTTTCTCCACAAACGTGATTTTCCAAATATTTTTAAAAGAATTACTTTTATTTACCTTTATCTATTTATTTATTTAGTTATTTTTATTTAGTTATTTTAATTTGACCAGAAAAAGACAGAGAGAGAGAGCAAGCAGCCAGGTCTGGGACTAGAATCACAGTTGGCCATGTGGGAGTCTAACACCCTTAACCACCACACCACCTGCCCACCCCAACTAAGTAATGTTCTCTGAATGAACAATTACAACAAAAACAACCAAATGTGTAATCTAAAATGTCCAGCACTGGGTAAGTTTAATTTATGAATTCCTGAAAAGTAGACTATTACAACTACCTTGCTTAATATTTAGTATGATTTGGAACCAGCAGTTAGCATAATGGCTATGTCACTGGACTCCCACGTCGTCGAACGCAGTTCGCGTCCCGGACCCGGTGGCTTAAAACTCACTCCGGGCGCGTGTGCGTGCGTGCCCAAGATCCCGAGAGGAGAATGGAGAAGGGATTGCGGCGTGACCATCCCCCCTGGGTGGTGATTTCTCACTTTCTGTCTCTATGTCTCTCTCTGTCTGTCTGGCAAGCGCACAGGCCCTATATCGAAAATCTCTCAAAAAAAAAATTTAGTACGATTTATTATTCAACACTCACAGGCATTGTTTTTAGTTGCCAAGGGTAGATGTTCTCCAGAGACAGAGAGAGAGAAAAAGACAGAACAGAGAAAGTAACCCCTAATGGGACATGGTCATGTCAGAACCCCTCCTTTTCTATTTTTCCGTACCATTGAGATTCTGGGCCCAACATGTCTTCAAGCCACCAAGGCCAAGATTCAAACTATGGTGGGTTATGTGGGATCTGGCTTTTTTCTTTTTTTTTTCTTTAAGGAATGATTTATTAATATTTATTTTTACAATTGACCAGAGTGAGACAGAGAGAAAAGGAAAGTGAGAAAGCAAGCTGCTTGGTCTGAGACTCAAACTACGATCCGTTATGTAGGAGTCCAATGCTCTAGCCACCCACTCCAGCTACCAGCCCCCAAGGGATCTGACTCTCTTAACTAGTAGCCTATAGGGCCAACCAAAACAGGTATTTTTGTTTGTTTGTTTTAACTTTTATGTACCATGAAACCTCCTATTGTACAAAGCTCACAAAAAATCTGTTCAGAAAGGGAATCAAGTGGATTGAATTTTAAGTGGCTTTTTCTTTCCTTATCTGGTCATACCTCCATTCCACTGTTTACAGTAAATATTCAGGTATCTGCAAACTTCCTATCTCCTTTCTAAAACCAGAACTGTCATATTATAGCTCACTTCCCCATTATCCAGAGGTGCTGGAGATCAACCTCTACCAGATCTGACAGATAACTTTGCTCTTCGCATGGGTCAGCTTCCAGAATATACTCTTCCAAGGGAATCATTTTCTCTGATTGTTTAGGTTCTTTCTGTTCATGGAGCATTTGTCTTATTTATCCTTAGCAAGAAGGATTGGGTTGAGAATTCCCTGATTATCCTGGATAGCCAGTCAGCTCCATGTTTTTACCAGTTGGCACCTTCCCAACAGATGCAAAGCTCTGTACCCGATACTCACCATTACATAGAGCATACTACCAAGGGAGTTAGAGTGGTAGGGAAGGACATTAGATCTAAAGACAGGCTACCAGGGTCTGAATTCCAGATTTAGTGCTCAGTACTTTAGTTGTATGACTTTGGGCAAGTTACTTAGTTGTTTGGGAACAGGATTACAGAATCCTGCTTTATAGGATTGTTACAAGGATTAAATGATTGTACAACACCTGACATGGAGTAGCATTTTTTTTAAAAAAAAAACATACAACACCTGACATGGAGTAGCATTTTTTTTTAAAAAAAAAAGCAATGATTTATGTCATTTTATTTATTATTATTTTAAATTTGGTGAGAGAGAGGGAGAAAGAGAGAAAGTGAGAAAGCAAACTTCCAGGTCCAGGACTTAAACCGTGATCAGCCAGGTGGGAATCCAGTACCTCAGCCACCATGCCACCTGCTGGCCCTGGAGTGCTATTCGTATTTATGATTAGTAAGGTGATCTAATGTAGGGGTTAAGAGTCCAGGCTTGAGTTCAAATCCTATTTCTTTGACTTACTAGCTGCATGACATTGGACTAGTTCTTCCCTGGATGTGTGCGTGTGTGTGTGTGTGTGTGTGTGTGTGTGTGTACATGCACAACTGCAAAATGAGGTCAATATTCTTGAGTAAAGAGAAGGCCGACCTGTAGCATAATGGTTATGTGCTGTGCATAAAAACTTGACCCCACATGGCTAACTAAAGTTTGAATCCCAGACCTGGTGACTTGAAAAAACTTGCCAGGCCTCCAGTGTGTGT